ACTTAAATTAAAAAATCCGTCTACCACATATATCTTCGAACCCACTATGAACCCACTATGAAGTAACTTCCCTAATAAGTAATACTAGGAAGCGACTGGACAATAACCAAGCGATTGCTGTTAACTTCCCGGCAGAGAATGTACAAACCGTAGCTGCTGGTGTTAACGTTTTTCATGAAAACATAGAGACAGTGTTCGGTATAGCCTAACAAGGATCATCTCGTGTATAGCCCAGGCGACGCAACGAGTGACCGGAAACTCTTGGAAACGAGGGAGATACTTGGATAATAACATCTCGGTACACGTGCGACGATGTCAGCGACGATCTCTTCTGGAAGTGACGTAATCAGAGACGATGATTGCTGCATCTCTGCCGTAACTTTGGAAGACATTAGGGCTAGGAAAAAAAAATTAATCTCCCGAGTAGATGATTGAGTTTCAGACAATCACAAATCTTCTCCCAGCTTTGGTTTGCGGCAACTTTCTGTCGACTAGGTTTTTTTTTTGTGATTTTGTTTACAAAAAGACGCGACACTGTTCTTCTGATTTCTAATATTTTTTTTTTAATCAAAGTTCAATGTTTTTAGCTATAAGTTTAACAATTAACCAACAAATATCAGTATCGCAATAATTTTGAATTTTATGAATCTTTATATATCACTAGGTATATAACTCGTTCTACGCGCGAGTTTGTATTAATATTTTGTTTTATTTTTTTTAGCTACTATCTTTAAAATTATTAAAAATTATATATTTATAGAAATTTTTATTTATATAAGAGAATTTAATAAATAATATGTAATTTATCCTATTTTTATTTATAAATTTTAAAAAACTATTAGGTAAAATAATAACAATGACACCTATCGAATTATCCAACTTTGATGTACATATACATTTGATTTAGAGAAATATAATCTCGCTAAGATTTTGTTATTATTTTCTGTTTTTTCATAGAATTTCTATAGTTCTTTTTTTCTTGAAAGTTTATGTGTTCAAATATTTAGTTTTTTATTGAAAGTCTTATTGATGTTGTGTACCACTACATATATAATCTATGATTTATGTTGATTCACATTTAATTTTGTTAGGAAACTGTAATGATCATGCAAAACTTTTTTTTCCTTCTCCATCATGTCTTCCAAGAGTTTTATGTTATATTTTTATTCAGTTTTCATTGTTTTTATTGTTAAATCGAGTTGTTGTAGATTTTTTTTAAATTGATAATTGATAATGATTATTTTTTTATACATGAATTGTTAATTTTTAATTTTTATATTTAACTTTAAAAATTTTAAACCATATTAACATTTTGTTATTTAATAAATATGTTGATTTGGATCAATCAAATTGAATTTACTTTTTTTGTTGTACATAATTTGTTAAATTAACTTTTAATGTTTTAATTATATTTACTAATTTTTTGTTTGATTTAAAAGCTGATGTGGACCAATTAAATTAAGTTTTTCCTTCGTAATCATACTTAACATTTTTTATTTAATAAATATGCTGATGTGGACTAATCAGATTGAGTTTTTAATCCCATGTAGACGTCCTCAATGCACTATGGCATCAACTTTTATATATTATATGATTTTCTTTCTCTTTCTAATTTCAAATATGTAAATTATGTTCACTCTTTGTTCAAAAATAAAATAGATTTAAGAGAATATACTGTTAAGATCGCTACAATGAAGGACAAAGGGATATCAGATTTATCAATGCTCTCCCAGATGCAGCATGTAAAAGTTTTTTCTATCTTTTCTAATCGATTTAGAGAACTGTTCCATACTGAAAGGAGTGGAACCCAGGCTGATGTACTTCTGCCTCGTAGACTTTCTAAAACAGAAAGGGTACTGCTAGAAAATGTCATCCCATTCTCTTATGAACTCCAATAAACGCTGCTGAATCTCTAGAGCTGACTTCCATTTATTTCTCTTCTTTGTTAGCCATTTTGATCAAATGTTTGTAAATAATGAGTACTTTTACTTAACGCCTCCTGGAGAGCCTCGATTAGAGCTTTAATAACAATAGGGATCCATTTTTGTTTTCATGTTTGCAGCTCAGCGAAATTGCAGGACTGCAAAATTGTTGGGTCTAACTCAAAAAATATGGAATATAAGGAGATAGGCTCAAGATTTTTCAACGATTTTGTGGTGGTAAGGAAACTTGGTATATTCTCTTTCTCTTTTTTGTGTAAGTTTACTTTCTCAAAGATTTCTTTATTGGTCTTTGCTTATATCATCTTTGTTGTTGGCAGGCCAAGGTGGTTTTGGCAGTGTTTTTCTGTGCAAGCATAAAATAGACTTAAGAGAATATGCAGTGAAGATAGTGTCTATTAAAGAGAATGTCACGTCAAACGACAAGGAGATATCAAAGGAAAAACTCATACTTGAAGTGTTTGCTCTTTCTCAACTGCACCATCACCACATTGTCAGATATCACCAGGTAAGAGTAGTTTCTCTTGTTTCTTTTTTGTAACAGGTAAGAGTCTTTTCTAATGATTCTCCTTTTCTTCTCAAATAAGCCTGGTACGAAACCCTAGGTTTTGATCCTTGTGCTGGCGAAAGTTTTGGATTAGAAGAAAGTGGATGGGAAAGTGCAGGGACTAAGACAGAAAGTGGATCAGAAGGTGACCACATTAGGAATTACTTGTACATTCAGATGGAAAGTTGTTCCTGGTAAGTTATATCTTGTATTTTACTTCTTAACATTCTCTTCTAACGTCCTGTTCTAACATTCTCTTCTAACAATCCTGTTCTAACATTCTCTTCTAACAATCTTGTTTTTGTTTTTTTTAAGTACTCTACGCCACGTGATTGACACAAGCCGTCACAAAGATCGCGAATGGGATTTGGCTTTGCAGATCATGTCTGATTTAGCGTATATACATTCTGAGGGCTTTATACATCATGACCTCAATCCCAGCAACATATTCTTGGACTCCAAGAATCAAGTCAAAATCCGGGATTTTTGGACTGGGTAAGTTTTACATGTAATGCTTGTCTTTTTCTTTCTTTTAATGCTTTTTGTGTTAGGTTTTTTAAGTTTTTTTCTCCCTTTTTTTATATATTACCAGCAATCTCTATGGATGTGGCTGAGAATGTGGCTGAGAGCGATGATAAAGCATTAGCTACATCCTTCTACAAAGAAGCACATGAGAGAGTTTCTAGAAAGGTTAGTTTTTCTTCTGCTTCTCAAAGGTTTACCAAATATTTGAATTCTTTATTGTGTTAATGAACTGTGCTTTTCAAATGCAGTCTGACATGGACAGCTTTGGGGTTATTCTCTTTGAACTTTGGCACTCGTTTACAACCGGCATGGAGAGGCTCCGGATCTTGACTGATCTGAAAGAGAGACGGAGATTACCACCCCATTGGGTATCTCAGTTTGGCGTTCAGGCAACTCTTGTTAAGCGTTTGGTATTTGCACCTGCATCTGAATGCCCCTCTGCCACAGAACTTCTTCAAGAGCTGCAGAGGAATTAGGTATACAATGTATATTGTTTTAGTTTCTTTCTGTTGTGTTAGTTTTTGTCTTGGTAAAACCTAGTAAAAAGTGTTTTTCAATTGCAGGTGACATATACACAGCTTCTCGTGTCTCCATTTGCATCTGCTCGCCCCTCTGCCACATGAACAAAACTGCCTTTTTTTTAATTTTTTTGCTTTTGTGTTTGTCTCGGTTAACCCAAATTGATGAATTCAGTACGTGTATTTGGGTTTCAGTTTGATGGTTCTGTTTTTGTTAAATCTATTTTGTAACTTTTGTTTGGTCCAGTTCGATGGTTCATTTTCTGCTTGTAACATATTCCTAAAGGGAGTCATTCAGGCAAGCAAAGAAATTGCAACATACCGTTGAATTTAAGTGTATCATGTGCAAGAAATAAAACAGAGCTGACAAGAATTTGCAACATACCGCTGATAAGAACTATACCAAGCTGAAGCATCTTCAAAACAGAATACAGACTAAAGAGAAATTGCAGAATCATACTGCCTTTGTCCCACTCTTTGATGAGATTCAGATGGTAAAGGATGAGGTAAACCTTATATAAGGTTTCATATTTTGAAATTTTATGAAACCTTATATATTATTTTTTTTCTTTTTCTAATTTCAAATATGTAAATTATGTTCACTCTTTGTTCAAAAATAAACTAGATTAAGAGAATATGCTGTTAAGATCGCTATAATAAAGGACAAAGCGATATCATAATTATCAATGCTCTCCCAATGCAACATCAGCAGGTAAAAGTTTTTTCTATCTTTTCTAATCGATTTAGAAAACTGTTCCATACCGATAGGAGTGGAATCCAGGCTGGTGTACTACTGCCTTGTAGACTATCTAAGATAGAAAGGGTACACAAGCCAGATCTCCATCCATCAATACATAGCTGGATTTAATAACAATTCTAAGACTATGGTCAGCATCATCGAAAAGAAGGATCTGTTTGAAAAAATAAGATCTTGGATGGTATGACATTTTCAGACTGAGGATAATTACTTTTTAGATAAGATAAGTGTTTGGAAATAAGAGAACACTAGTAAATGATTAACTGTTTAGAAAATGTAAAATGATGATAAGTAAACATATATTATATTCCAAATTATAATATATATAAAAATAATTTGTTAGAAAAATATGCTTATCTTTTTTCACGAGCCATAAGCGGTGATACCGCAGACGTATATTTCGATCGTTAAGACCTTCTTCACTTGTGTCATCGTATTGTGCAACTTCAACTCTATCTTCTCCGCCTTCATTTCTGACATGTCGTCTCCCCGCTAATATGACGGCGAGGCACTGAGCAGGGAGCAATGTGATGTCTCAATTGAAACTATCGGATGCGCAAGTAAGAAAATAGGAAATATATAATTTTTTTTTGGGTCAAACAAGTAATAAAATATATTTACGTTCCCTTTATTAAAGAGTTAAAAGACCTAAAGCCTTCCTTTCCATAATTTATTTTTGTCAACTTTGTTTTCTTTTATTTTTTGCCAATTAGTTTAAGGCCTTTTAACATTAATTATTTCCAGTAAATCTGTATTTCTCTGCTTCCTCTATTGAGTTGGCTAAAAGCTAAGTTTACACGCACACAAAAAAGTAGATCATCCACAGATAATTTACAGACCATATAGCTATCTGAGAGATTGCTTCTCATCTATAAAGTCTCTGATGCAATAATCATTCGCTAAATTCTACAATGCAAGAGAAGAGCACACTTTGGTGTAACCGTAAGTTTCTTACTCAAAAACTTATGAATTTCACATATTATCTTCTGTACAAGTACTTGGCCAGTGGAAAGCTGAGGCTTCTCGCAACCTATAAACCAAATCAGAGGAACAAAACATACGGTGCATCAGCATTATCTTTACATCACTCCACGCTAATATGACTCGACAATTGCAAATAAAGTGTGTTGTGTTACCTTCAGAGCCAGATCTTCAGACACCATGGAACGGTATCTAATAGAACCTTCTAGTGGACAGCTTCCACTTTTGGTTATAAAGTTTGCATCACAAAGACTTGACACTTGAAGCAGAACACATGACATCAGATTGTTATTCTCTTTGTCGTAACCCGTCGCTTCTTCTCCTTCGTCTTCTCCTCCTTCCTCTTCGCCAAGTGAAGAATCTCCTACAGAGGCAATACACTGGAATATCGCCAATAGTCTCTCAAGTGGAAAGCTTCCAGGCCCTTTCATGACTGCTTCTTGCTCTGCAATTTCCTTCTTCTCCATCGATTTCTCAGAGGCCCTGAGAAGGAAACATCATCAATAAAGACCATATTCTTTTATCATGAGAATACACCACCAATACCATTACCATTCCCTACTTTTGCTAGACTAGTTATCAAACGAGAAACAATGATACACAACTTACTTCCGCTTTCTTTTACGATTATCCATGCCCCCTGTGGAGTCAAACATCGAGGCGTCTAGCGTTGCTGGGTTTCTTGAAGCCAGAAACGCCGCGATAAGAAGATACTTGGCTGAAGTAGACATATGCAAGTCCAATGTATCAAGCTCGTCACGGTTTTCAGAACTGTAGCTCGATTTCTGCTTTCTCTCGCCTCTGGTGTCGCCATCATGAAGGTGACTTGAGACCCGGAACACCTCATTTAAACATGAAGCTATATGCGGTTTAAGATGGCTATACAGCCTTCTCTTCAGGTCTTCATTGGGTGAAATCCCTAAATCATCAAGCGGTTCACAATACTTTCTGAACAATAATGAGAAGGTAGTGGAAAGTTCCTCAACTCTCCTCGTGACCCTACAGAAAGGTCTCAACACAACACTGTTTCAACACCAAAAAAAAAAACTACATCAGCAAACAATATAAGTAAAAGATACGAGAGAAAGCAAGTAAGAGACAGAGGCAAGGTTATATCTAAAGCACTTACTCGAGAAATGCAGAGTACAGTTTCAGATTATTATCTTGAGTTCTCAAGAAAATCTGACGAAGCTCGTCTTCGGAATACTCAGGGAAGTAAACAGGTATAGGGTCTGTGTAACCCATGTTTGAGTAATACACATCTGGTGGCAACCCGCTGATGAGAACTATACCAAGCTGAGGCATCTTCAAAACAGAACACAGACTGAAGAGAAACTGCAGAATCATATTGCCTTTGTCCCACTCTTTGATGAGATCAAGGTGATCGAGTATGAGGTAAACCATCTTCCCCGTGATGGGTTTTCCGGAAGTAGAGCCGAGAGTTTCCACCACGTTACCAAGTGCTTCTCGAAGCAAGTTGACGAAATCAGATGGCTTGTCACATCGCTTGGCGCTGGAATAGCCATTCGAAGAAGACTTCCTGTGGAGCAGCAGCTGATTCAGAACCGACTCGAACAAGATACGAGGGCTGTGACAAGTGCGGCAGCTCGAATAAACAAAGGGGCGGTTGAGATGCTTGAACGCTTCAAGAACCACACTGGTTTTGCCGGTGGAGGCGTCTCCGTAGACCATTATCGGGAGAGTAGGGGAATCCAATGGGCCCATGAGGCGAATCAGGTCAAGAATCTGTGAGCGTCTGCCCGGAAAGTTGGAGAGAAGAGCGTCCAGAGTGATTGTTTCTTCTTCCCCAAACGTGAGATCATCAACGGATGGTGTGTGGGATTCATTGGGCTCTGGGTTCTCAATAGTCACGGAAGACGAAAGCCTCGTGTTTCTTCGTGTGGCTTTCGAACTCTCCTCCCTAGGCATGTCTTTTACCTTGTCTCCACAAGTCAGAATGAAATTTCAGTGTAAGTTTGGTTCGAAGTAGTCGGAGCACAAATCTACAATAAAGAGAGACAAGCAAGGAGTGAAGAGAGAGCCACTGTGAATCATTTACAGAGGAAAGAGTGAACATTTGCATAGCCCGTCAAATAAAAAAATCGTGTTCATTAAGTCATAAGCCAATATTTACAGCAATCAATCAAGATCCAGACAATTTATAAATCAACACAATATTCAGAGAGTAACACCATCCTCTCTAAAAAAGATGAAAATTTAAGGCCAGTTTCAATTTGAATTCATACCGTAACCTCACGTAGACGGAACAAACCCTGAATACGCCGCAAGGATCCAGAGGCAGACGAATTGGAAAAAGGCCGGGAAGAAAGCGGGGATATAGGGTTTCTTTTTGACAATCAGAAATCGCGGCGACTGAGTGAAGAAAGAAACGGATAGTGTGAGAAGAAGAACAAAACGAGTCGTTTCGGTTAATAAGCAAAACGGTGTAGTTTTTGGATGGAAGAACCTTGATATTGTATTTCCCATTTTGTTACAAGTGTTGTTAATCTTGGTTGAGTCTTGAGTGTGCGAGAGATGAACCAGGGGGAAGATTAAGATGGCATTTGCAGTAACTATAACTCTATAAGACTATTAGAATCTTGTTACTAGCTCATTCAAGTAGAGATGAAATTCAAGTTCAAGCTTATGTATTATAAAACTCCGCAAAATTATTTAAAACGTCAAGCAGGTACAGAGGGGAAAACAGTTTTGTCAAAGAGAGAAGAACAACTGATAAAAGCATGTTGATATTGTATGCACAAGGAAGAAGAAGCCAGGAACATGGTCATTTCTTGCGAGCCAGCGCCGCTACAATACCACCGGCTATGAGACCTACGGCTCCTACAGCAGAAGCAGTGATGCCTATCCCTATCACACCATCTGTGATCAAATAACAACAAAAGATACACTATTTAGTAACTCTGTGACTCAATTAGATTTCTTTTGTTACTAGCATTTGCAGTAAATACTACAAGGCTAGAAGAACTTTCATTTCATGTGATTTAGTTTGATGTTTCTGTTTAACGAGTGGCTTACCCTTTGTGATTTTGTCTTCGATGGTCTGCTTTAGCACCAAAGCTTGTCTCCAATCAGGTTGCATCTATGAAACCAAACCATCCATCAAAAGGTGCACACACACACACACACACATATATATATATATATATATGGATGACGCGGTTTATAAAGAAAAGAGTTTGGCTAAGTGTATGAAACCTCGATACAGCGGTCAACGAGCTGCCTGCTCTTTGCGTAATCCCCGCTCCTGTAATATCCAACAGCAAGAAGATAGAGCTTCTCTCGGTCCTCTAGAGGAGGAGCACTGTTTGCCAGAGATGCTGCAACAACGAGAACAACAAAAAGATTCATCAATCTCATGTTTACATGATGCAGAAGAAAAGAAAGCTTAATGATGGTTAACTTTGAATCAAAGCTAAAACTTTCAGGCCATGGTTTTGCAAAGAATAAATATGGGACTCGTCACTACCTTCAAGCATGGCTATTCCGCGTTGCACATCTTCGTTCTGATGGGAATGAACAAGAACCCAGGACAATCGCATTAGGCACTCTTTCTTACGTTCTTCAGAGTCAGAATCTGTGGCCTCTCGAACCTCTCTTTCACATCCCTGCCATCAAAACAACAAAGATTAGCTGGTGAGCTTGAATTTTGAAAGAAGACACAAAACTTAAATTATGATGCTGTGACATTTCAGTAAAATTCTACAGTTACGAAACTCGGACGTTCAAGTGCAAGGATCCAACGCGAGGTGCAAATAATCGGCAATCACGCTCAGATGATGACTATTTTCACAGCTCATGAACTTCTACAGCTCGATTAAGAAATCTTCTTAATCCAAAAAAATAATTCCTCGAGAAAGCAAACCCTATTCCAGAAATCTCAACAGACTTTGATTGATTGCCAGAAACAAACACGAAAAACAGTTGCAATTTCCATAAAACAGCTCGTGATTCCGTCCTAGTTCAGGATTATTCATCGTTTCTGAAACCATATGCGGACGAAAAACGAAGGAAGGCAGAAACTTACAGCGATGACATCTCCTTCGGTCCATGGGATCTTATCGCCGGAGCTGAAGAAGGCACCGACGGAGTCAAAGAACTTTCCGATCTTAGCATCCATTGAAGCGATTTTGAGCTATTTGATTCACGCGGTCTTCGTCTCTGCTCTCTTAATTCTTAAAAAGCGAGAATGGACTTGTCCCCCAAGGTCAGGAAGAAGAGAATAATATTTACCCCTTGAAGTTAAAGTTATTAACAAGCAAGACCCTGTATTTTAGATCTACCCATATTTAATCCCATGTCTTCTATTTAGTAATAAAAAAACCCTATGTGATAAAGTTAAAACTCTTCTCCAATGCGATTGTGAACTGCTGATTTTTCCAAATGGATCAACAAGTTACTCAATCAAGCAATTGTATGTTCATATGATTCAATCATACTACAATTGGTTATAAAACTTCATTTACTGCGGTTTAAGGCCCAACCAACCAAATCTCATGGTCTTCTTCTCTTGTGGTTTCTGCTCACAAACAGATTCAGCAGTCTAATAATCAATCACACGTCTCAAACAAAGTACACAGCACAACTTTATACATACACAAGATCGAGTTTCAACAAGAGCTACAAGGCAGGTGGGTAAGCAATATTATTAAAGTTGGACTCAGCTCTCTGTACCGCCCTCTGAACCGCTCTTCTCAAGCTCCACTCGTAGCAGAACTCCAAAGTCAGCCTTAGCGCTGTTCCTAGCCCTAGCACCACTATCACTCCTGCAATTATATAAGTGTTTCATTGTATTAAAACACTTACTCAAATTCAATCACTAGCATATAATATAACTTATATAGCTTATACAAACGTACCAATAATAATGTTAACCGGGAGTGCAGACACACCAAGTGTGATGGATATCAAGACATCCAGCATCAGACCACCTATCAGAATTGAGAATGCTACCCACAGCGGACTGAAACATCCCTGCCATGACCACCACCACATTACGTTCAATTGATTTGCCACTCCTAAACAAGAGACTTGATCCAAATGGGGCTACTTACTCTCTCATGCTGTTCTTGTCTATAGCTGGGATCAACCCTCCAAACCCAGTAGTTTGTCTGTTTCATAAAGGGCACCGTCATGTGTTTACCAAAGCTATAATGTCACGAATAAAAGAATGGTACTTACAGTTGGTTGGGTCTCTGGAGGTGGCACGTTCACAGCCACTGCCCTGCAGAAACACAGAGAAAAAAATGGTAGAAACCAATAAGCATAGGTAGTCTCCTCCTAATGAATCAAGCAAACAACGAAATGTCTAGTACTCACTGGCAAATCTCGCACTGGTTAGAGCCTTTTGTGCGGAACCAAGCGTCTATGCATGACCTATGGGATTTAGCGAGGCCACCACGACATAAGCACCCCAGTTCGATCAAAGCCTCTTCTTTCTCTTGCTGACAAACCCTACTCATCAGAAACAGAGAAGCCTGATTCAGTAGTTACTTAGATTCTAACAGTAACAGCTAAACATAACCACACAACATACGAACAACATAGCGACACAAACTTATCAACCAAGGCGGTAAAGAGAGAGACTTTCACATTCTTGGAACCCTCAAGATAGTCGAAAAGGAGGGAGGGAGCGAACCTACACTGCTCGTGAGAACTGGAGTTCCTGGACAAGCAAACCTTTTTCGGGGACTCCTCGCTCTCAGCCTGTTCTGCGGATTCATGTGCCTGACTAGTACCACCATTGCAGACAACAATCGTGAGGTTCACTGCCTCGTCTTGCTGCTTTTCAGGGTCACCAGCGGGACTGGAGCTACTATGCATCTGATCCTTGCCTTGCCTGCCACAAGTTCCTTCTTCGCCTACGTACCCATACGACTACTAGCAATACATCACACACTTTTGGAACCAAGTTGAAAAACAAAAGAAAGAAAAGAAGCGGTAGTTAGTCATTGTGCCAATGAAACACGAATCCGATATGGAATCAAAACACAAAACGAAACTATATAATAGATACATGTGTGATGATGACATAAGATGAATCATGTAATCATTTATTGCAAATAGCCAAAAAGCATCACCCTTTTCAGACAGATTAGAGTGACATAGGTAAAAGCTAAAACAGGATAAAAGCATATCCTATGTGTATGTATGTTCTGCGATATTTCCTCTATGAGATAGGTTGAGCATTTCCTCTTCGATATTATTTCTCTTGACAAGTGGCAATGAAGAGCTTTGTGATCTTTGTAAAGTAGTATTAAACTGTTTTGCTAATTACCTTATTTAGAATCTGGCGAGCGGTCTTCCTCTCTAGCTCTCTCTTTCACTTAACTAAGCAGCTGCTTCTCTTCGATTAAAAATAAACAAAAAACATAGAGCTAAGATATAACCTTCATTTCAGATTCTAATCATGCTTTCTCTCTCTCTGAAACAGATTTCGATGCGAGGCTTCTGGGCAGAAAAGAGAATTTGTTATAAAATAAAATAAAAACAAATACTGGGATTTGCTATTCGACAAGATTTGGATGCGAGACTTACCGATACGTATGAAACGGAGGAGCACAACACACAAATTTTGTGAATCCAAGAGAGAAACAAGAAAAACAAAGACTTCAATTTCTAAGTATGGAAGGTTTTTTTTTTCCTTTTTTATATATATTGGAAATGCTTTTTGTTTCACTAGATTGAAGGCAAAGTGGATCTTTTTTGCTTTAGTGATGAATTTAATGACAAGAAACCGCAACCTTTGGATTAAGTACAAAAGCTAATCTCAACCGTTGGATTATATATTTCCTTTTTTCCTACAAAAAGAAAGAAAAACACAAGCTGACTTCAGCCTCACCTACACAACAGGTTTCCTATTTTGATCATGTCACTAGAAAATACACTACAACAACAAAAACTCAAAATAATCTGACAGATTTGCTGAAATTTTGCCACTTCTTGAAACTCCGGGCATCTAAATCGTACGCTTCTTGTTTCTTTCCTCTGCTGATTCTCTTGCTACAGTATCTAATTGGTTTCATCAGATTTTTCAGTATCTTATTCACAACTAATCCTCTTCGGCCTTGGGAGACCTGAGCCACCGTACGTATTGGAGGATCATCTTCAACCGCACTGTACATCAAAGAGAAGCCGGACTCGGATAAGCTCCGACCAAGCAAGGCCTTGTTGAGGTGAGCCTCGAAAGATAACCTCTCGAACCGATCCATCAACGAGCTCTGATCGTCCCCGAACCTTTGAAGAAATGGTGGAGTCTCCATTGCCTTTTTCTTTTGTGTTTCGATGGAAATCTACAGAAACTCTTCTTTTTAAGGAAAGACATAAATGGAAATGTTGTCAAGGTTCAAGAACAAGCAAAGGATCTTTCTTTTAATATATTTTTTTTGCAAGTTTTTCTTGTGTTCAAAGCAAAGGATCATCTAGGATGAAAAACAAAACCTAAGAAACATCTTAAAAAGTTTTGCTGAAGTGCACAACAAGATGGTTTCACTTCACCACACACATCGGTAAGCAACATGCGACTCCGTGAGTTCCCCTCTGTAACTCACTTTCACAACTTGCCCTTTCTCTAATCCATAGTACCGCACAACCGCGTCTTTCTTTGAAATCCGAGGAAGCTATCAAAAGATAAAAAACAAGAGAAAAAGGTTAGAAGATTGAGTTAATACACCAGCTAAGTTTTAAGCTCCAAGAAATCGATGATGTACTTGTTTTTCCTCGATACTGAACTTCTTGAGAAGTGCTGCCTTCTCTTCATCATTCAGAATCCGATGTCGCGGTTTCAGTACATGGTCGGTTACGTTGACTAGCAAATCGGTTATCTTAACAAGACAGCAAAGAAAGGAAACTAGGTTATTCAATACATATTTGAAGTTGTCGCAAACACAAATTACATCAGGAAGAAATATACATGTATATTACCTGAAATATCTCGACCTTGAAAGAAAACAGTTCGATGGCTTTCAAGGCTTGATTGGTTACATGGCTTTGCAGAACCAATATCAGCCCGGTTATCGTTTCTTGGCTAAGTACCTCTGCTGCAACACTGCGGATCCCGTTGACTTTAACCGTACCAGTACCAAAAAAGACAACCTTGACCTGAAAAACCAAAATTACAAAGCTTATTGAGCCAGACCCTTTAAACCAATAACTCTCTCTTATTATTTCCATAGGATCACAGTGAGACATATGTCGTTACGCCATAAGACTACATTCTGATGTAACTTGTAAGAAGCATCACGAGTAGAGAATATAATGCATTAATTTCTAACAATATTATGCTTGTACTAAAGAAACCAACAGGCAAAAGCAACCAGACTTTTCATAATCCCTATGAGCATCCCAAATTAGTGACAGCATTTAATGAAGCAACCAACAAAAAAGGGTAAAACTTTCAACAAAAATCAGCTTAGCCGTTTCTTTCACAATTTGATCTCATGCAACAATCACACAGATTTGACCATCTTCTAAAGAACGGAGAGACCACTTTAGCATTCCGACACAGTATATTGTCAGAATGTTCGATATAGAGAGAGGTAAAATTAAGCTATACAGATTAATTTCACACTGCCAAAAGCCTAATATCTACATATAGATCATATAAACCAAAGTACATTGAGTCATCCAGATCCACAAATGCAGCAGTAATAATTTCAATTCCAAGATAAGCAACGGAAAAGATTTTGAAATTTCCGACATTTCTTTCGCAGCCAAACAGCAAACCCCTAACATGCAAAGGAAAAAAAATTAAACCGCGAGAAATCGAAAATTCCCACACTGTGTATATACCTTTTTGGAAGAATCGGAGCGAAGCTGAGCGGAGATACGGAGACGGTCAACTTCGGGATGTTCGCCGTAAACAGTTCGAAAATCCTGGAGGGAGAGATTGATATCTTCGGCGGAAACTTCGTAGCCTCTGTCTCGGAGCATCACCAAGGCATTCCGCCGCGCAAGATAGTATCTGTGACTCTCTTCACTCGATGGGTCCACGTACTTGCTCATACACTGACCCGGACCCAAACCCGAACCTGATCCTGGAGCCGGAGCCGGAGCCGGAGCCTTGTCGTTCCCTTGCGCCTCCATTTTCTCTCCCTATCTGAGCAAACGAGAGAGTAAGTGGAACAGCGATGGACTTTAAGGCGAATCAGAACGGTGCCGTTTCTGTTGAGAAGAGAAGGAAATTGATTTTTACCGTGACGGCTGTTTCTGGTGGGACCATGGACATAATCAGTCAAACTAAAGACAAAGGAATTGTGAGACATATGCTTTCCACTTTACTTTTGTTTTTTTTTTTTAATGTCAACCAAAGTACTTCTTTGAATTTTTATTTATTAAAAACAAGTCCACAAATTTTAGGGGAGTTCCCAAGAAATGCAGCTTTGAGCCTTTCTTTGACGAAAGATCCCACCTGAATGGATTTGAATTTTTTTTGTTACATTCCTCTTTACTTATGACCTGAGTTTGTAATTTCTTGGCATTTTCCCCCTAATTTTTCATTAATGGATATATTGAAAGATTCACAGTGAACCATAAGATTATCATATATTCATATTATAAAGTTTTTATGATCAAATGATGGTGAACTGCATTTACGATTTGTATTTCTCTTCTTTGAACTTCTGTATCCGAGGAACTTTTATTTATGTGGTTTTTGTATTTCACATATAAATTCACCTTGACCAATATTATCGTCAGATGATCCAAACAAAATTTCGCGAAAATTTATAGTAATCAAACGGTGAAATTACTAACCGATTATTTTATTTTTTGTCACAAAGAATGACAAGTTCACAGCTAAATTTATCAATGAATAATTAATCTCCATTGCGCATGAAAATTTCACTGGTAAAACCCTGCAACAAAACGACGGAATAATTCTGCCGTTATGCGAATTACCAATCATGATGATAAAGTAATAATCATTAAGTTTCAAAGTGTTAAAAAGTGTCTACGAGCAAGAACAACTATGGAACAAAAGAACACACCACCACAAAAGAGAGTAATAATAATTAGCCTCTTGAGCCATATCTTATTCCAATATACAATAATACTAACCCAGTACCATCTTAGTAAGAAACTAAGAATCATCAACTCTCTCTTTTTCTCTTCACAATTCACACAATCAAATCTAAAGCCCCTTTCACCACCCACACAGCCTTCTGATCCAAACAGATCACTTAGTGACAACACTCGCGACAACGCACCAATCCATTCTCATTGCATTTCGGACATCGCTTGAACCGCTCGTCTTGCTCCTCGAACACTTTGGTGCTGCCATCACAGTTAGTACAAGGCACAAACCTCGCATCCCCACAGCTCCGGCATGTCCCAAAGCATTCACTAGCAGGGAAGTCTTTTAACATCTCAGCTAACTCACCACCATCGTTTAGCTTCATAATCTCCTCGACGCCACCAATGTGGGTTCCTCTGATAAACACCTGAGGCAAACAAACCGGCTTCTCTGCAGCGCCAAGCACGCTTTGAAGCTCTTTCCTGTATTTGGAATCCATCGAGATGTCACGTTCGTCTACCGTGACTTGAAACCCTCTCAGTATCGTTCTAACGCAACAGCAATCCTCGTACGTCTTTCGAATTCCTCGGAGCGTCGTGAAGTAGAGTACAACCCTGTCTTCTGTTCCTTGCAATCTCGGTTTGGCTTGAGAACTCAACGGACTTGGGCATTCAGATTTGGGGTCGCTAGTTAAGATGGTTGGATTTGTTGTTGGGCTACAAGAGAGGGACTTTGTGGTTCTGAGAGGGTTCTTGGTGTCGACATTGGTACTATGATTGGTTAGCTGCTTAGAGGACAAAGCTTTCTTGTAAGATGAGACAATGCTGGGATCTAAACCAGATATAAATGATTCCTCAGACAAATGCTTCCACAGAGGTTGCTTTGGTTTATAAGACAACGGGACCCAATCTTCTTCGTCTTGTTCGATTCTCACAAACTCGTAAGATTCGTCCAATTTCAACGCAGACCCACTTAGACCCGCATTCCGATTCGCGTCGGGTTTAGGGCAAACTTCAGAATCAAGGCTGGAACTACGCTTACCGGGTTTGGGAATTTCGAATTCGAATTCGTCGTCCAAGCCGTCCATAAGCTCCCACGTGTTGATGACTGAGTCAGGGGAGAACGAGTCGCGCGAAACCAGATCTGGCGTGCTCTTTCCGGCGACTGAGATACGGGGAAGCGTCTGTTGGTCGGAGGAGCTTTTGGATCCGTCGAGGTCGATGAGGAGAAGGGAACCGTAAGAGGTGGATGTGAGGGAAACGAGGTGATGAGTGTCGCCTTTTCTAGCCGGAGGATGGTGAACCAACGGCGTCGGAAAAGAGAAGGCTCTCTGAACCGCCGGCGAAGGGAAATCGGTTGAGACATTCGTCGTCGGTGGAGACACCGTAGCAGAGGAAGAAGTAGAAGAAGAAGAAGCGTAAGAAGCGGTTTTCGAAGCAGAAGAACCCATCTGAGTCGAATTAATAACACTGTGGCTTTGAAATGGGTTTTTAGTTTCTTTCCTCTTTCTGGATTCTTCAGGGATTCCTCTTTTTTTTTTCTCGGAATGATAGAGAACAGAAGGAGAAAGACAGAGAGGTGGAGAATAGCTGTCTAGGGCAGTTGGAGGTGGAAGATGGTGAAATTTAATGGCAGGGACGATGGTGATGTTGATTTTCCGACACCGAATTTTCGATTTGATTTTGATTGAAGAACGACTGCTAAAGTTTCGTTTACGAGATATAGAAGAATCAATAATTTCTATATAATCTTGGCCAATGCCTAAAATATATTTAAATTAGAGTCGACAAAAAAGGAGAAAAATTAAATAAAAATGGTATGATTTACTTAAGTGCAATCTTTATTATTTTTTTAAACAAATTAGTACTAGACCAAATATAGGAGAAAAGAAAAGTAGATCAACTTCATCAAATACAATATTGTAATGTCATTCTCAAAAGATTTTCTTTTTTTTTTGCAATTCGATACTTTCTAAACTACTTTAATTTTAAACCATAGAAAATATATTTAAAAGCTTTCTTTTTTTAATAAAATATGAAACAAAATGGTGTAAGACTATGTTTAATTTGTTTTTCATAATTTTGAAAACTAACTTGCAGTTTCAAAATTTTGAAAACTTACTTTTTTATTAGGTAACACATAATAATGTCATCATCACTCTATCAGTTTAAAAAACTTACAAATACAAAAAGATAGTTATTGTGATTTGTTTTAAAAATTTTGAAATAAGATATATCATAAAAATATTGTATTTTAGATACAAACTTTTTTTTTGAAAAATAAAAATAAACCTTCTTCAACAAAAGAAAACTATTTTTTAGTAATAATATATATAGAGATACTAGATACATATTCATATTGTATCGAAAATATACTCAACCGAGTAAAAAGGTTCAAATAATAATAAGTTTACAAATACGACCTAGACAGAGTATTCATGTGAATCATTTAATCAATGAGTGTAGGGAAAGTTTCTATATCTGACCTGTTATAAGATCTTGGACCACAATTTAATGTGTTACATTGACTTTATCATTAGTTGATTTTGAGGGAAATACATTAGTTTTTTATTTATTTATTTAGTTTTTTAATCCGCAAATAACTTGTAGTTCCTTACAAAGGTGTTTTGCTGACTGTTACAATTCATTGACGTAGCTGTAGATTCGAATTCCCACGAGAAAAAAAGTATGGTGCTTTGCTGTTACATGTTGGTTGCATTATGAATTGTTTTTTGGACATACAATGTTGTTCAGTACGGTTTAGTTGAATCAAACTGAAACCTATTATAGACACAAGCCCAACCTTATGAGAGACAGTACAGTACAAGCCCATGTAACTTAGGGTTTTCAGCAAGACAAAGTCCTAGATAAATTGAAAAATCAACTTTGGGAGTTGCCACTTTGTGCAATTACACATAATTAAATACCGCAGGCTCTCTGCTATGCTGTATATGCTCTGCTTTCTTATCTCTCTCTCTCTCAAAATGTTCGTTACATTTAGAACTTTGCCTGAGAAGTTTTGATAGCAATTCAAATGACGCGTGCTTGTGTTCTTTGCAGATTGATTTCAGTAAATATGCCCTCTCCTGAAATCAGAAAGTCCTGAGTGCAAAACGTGTTTATGCTGCCTAAGGCCTAAAATGAATAATAAGCTAAGGAGATTTAAAGAATAGCAAAAGGTGATCTTGCGATAATCAAACTTGACTTCAAGAAAGTTTTGCACTATCACTTATGTAAGCATTGAAGATACTAGAAACTCTTTCCTTGAAACTTGTTTAAGCCTATGGGATCCTTTGAACCAAAAGCTGATGTATTTTTTATTCTGTCACAAGTAGGGGAACATAGTAATTATCTGAGTATATGAATAATCCTGAGCATACTGCTATCAACAGAAGAACACACAAAAAAAACCAAGAAGCATGATTTTGCATTCCAGAGGAAACAAGCATAATCAAACCTACATACACTCAGTGATTGAGACATAAATCACTACCACGTTCAGTTTATTCACTATTCGAGGAACTATATAAGCTATATCGTGGTCATCTATTAACACAATCTATTTTCAAATTTAGGGTTTCAAGGGAATTCGAAGCGACTCTGATCGAAAACAACGGGCAAAAGGAGTAAAATTGGGGGAAAAGAACAGATACGCAGAGAAGGCGAGCTAATGAATCTCGGATCGCTGATCATCCGACATGGAAAGGACCAATATCTCCGTTTCTGAGAGAACCGGCGATCTCGTCGGCGATAGACAAGCAAGTGAAGACCCACCCGGTTAGAGAAAACCAAACCATTTTCATCAGATACGTCGCCATACCCAGTGGCATCGCCATCTCCGAGTTTCTCTCCTTCTCTCTCTATTTCTCTCTGTTAAAGCTCAAATGATTTAGCCGGCGAAGTAAAAAAATGAAAGAAGATTCGCCGGTACGTTCAAGGATCTTCCAACCATTTAGAGTTCGCCACGTGTTTTTAATTTCATTAAATTAATTCACCAGCTACGTCGCTATGTGGCCAGTCACGCCGCCATTGTCATCAATCTTCGGAATAAATAATTTGGGGAAAATCCGACCCGGATTCGTATTAGGAACCCGACCCGAGATGGTGCTCCATGAATTCCCGCTCCACTGCCTTTTTCAATTTCATTTTGAAATCGCATCTCCGCCAAAAGGCCGATATCTCTCTCTCTCTACCTCTCTCCTCCGAGCAACTTCTCTCAGTTTCTCTCTCTAGAAAATGGCTCCTCCCTTTGTTTTCCCCCAAATTCTGCGAGCCCTAGAAGAAGATCCGGAAGACAATCATCGGCTGTTCGCTCAGAATACCGTCGATGTGACCTCTCTTCGCCCTTCTGATCTCGAAGAGTTCGTCAAAGGTAACACTTTTTTCGGTGTTTCTCCAATTTTACGAGTGCAATTTGTCCTCTTGTTTCTCCAGTCTAATTTTCGAGAAACTCGATAGAGATGCAACTGTTGAACTCCAAAATTAGTTCATTCCGAGAGGCTTTAGATTTTAGCTGCGTCGCAATTTGAGAGAGCAATTGGATTGTGAAGATAGTCATTTATTCATTCGAGCCTTCAGGTGGGTTTATAGGTAGTGGGAATTCATAGAACTTCTCTCGCTCTTTTAGAAATTGGTGAAAGTTTTTTTTTTTGCTCGATTTGAATTTGTTAATCTTTCAGAGTCATTTTCTATCACTAGCTTGCATACTTTCATGGCTATTGCTCAGACAGGGAAACAGAAATTGAAATGCAATCTTCACTCAAAACCTGGTCTTTACAGTTTAGTGTATCTAATTATGGAAGGAGATTTTGTACTAAAACAAGGAATTTAATGAGTGGTATGACTCTTGTGATTGATATGTGAGGCATTTTTTTTTTGGCTGCCTTCTTGTGGAACAGGTGTATCATTCGATCTATCTGACAGAGAACTCTTCTGTATCGAAGATCAAGACGTTTTTGATCGTGTCTACTCTTTGATTAGGAGCTTCTATAGTCTTCCTCCATCTTGCAAGTGTAATCTTGTGGAAAGCCTTCGGTCCAATCTAAGCGTTCTTCTTCCCAATGTCGATTCGATCTCCCGATCTGTACAAGGTCAGGAGGATGAAGTGCCAATAATTGATAGGATCACGTCACATCGCAATGCTTTGAAAATATACACTTTCTTTCTCCTCACTATTATTATGACTGAAGAATCACACATCAGCTCAGTAGACACCACAAAGGTGTTTTTTCCAACTGATTATGTTACCATACAGATTATAATTCTTCTCTTTTGGTTGCCTTTACTATAGGGATGTTGTGGATGTGCAGGTCGCACCACGAGGGAGGAAAAAGCAAATTATCCAGTCATGGAACTGGGAACCTCAGAGGGGTAGGATGCTCAATTTGATCGCAAATTCTCTTGAGATCAACCTATCCTTGCTCTTCGGATCAGCAGACCTAGACGAAAACTACCTGTCTTTCATTGTCAAGTAAATTTCTGTGACCTAATGAATCTGGTTTATTTTGCATATTCCCTGTGGAAGTTACATTTTCATAACTTCTTCGTATTATTTCCTTGTAGAAACTCGTTCTCTCTTTTTGAGAATGCTGCAATCCTAAAAGACGCTGAGGCAAAAGATGCCCTCTGCCGCATCATAGGGGCATCTGCTACAAAGTACCGTTACATTGTGCAGTCATGTGCCTCAGTCATGCACTTGATACACAAATATGATTTTGCTGTTGTACACGTTGCTGATGCAGTTGCTAGAGCTGAAAGTAAGTATTCAGATGGTACCTTGGCCGTGACAATCATCAGAGATATTGGGAGGACTGATCCAAAAGCCTATGTTAAAGATACTGTTGGGGCCGATAATGTGGGACGTTTCTTGGTCGAGCTTGCTGATCGTTTGCCAAAGCTAATGTCAACAAATGTTGGAGTTTTGGTCCCTCATTTTGGTGGTGAATCATACAAGATAAGAAACGCACTAGTTGGTGTTCTTGGAAAGTTAGTAGCAAAAGCATTTAATGACGCCGAGGGGGATGTGAGTTCCAAGTCCCTTCGTCTGCGAACTAAACAAGCAATGTTGGAAATTTTGCTCGAACGGTGTAGAGATGTTTCTGCCTATACAAGGAGCCGAGTTCTTCAGGTTTGGGCTGAACTGTGTGAAGAGCATTCTGTTTCGATTGGCCTATGGAACGAGGTTGCATCCATATCTGCTGGAAGACTGGAAGATAAGAGTGCAATTGTTAGAAAATCCGCCCTGAATCTACTGATCACGATGTTGCAACATAACCCCTTTGGTCCACAGCTTCGGATAGCTTCATTCGAAGCAACCCTGGAGCAGTATAAAAGGAAACTGAACGAACTTGAACCAAACCCCCCTACTGAGGACTCATCAAAAGAGCCAACTTCAGATGGTGACTCCTGTAGTGGAGATAGTGAAATCGATGACTCGCAACTTGAAGTTACAAATAAGTCGCATCAAGATAGTCTACCTGATAGCTGTCAGCCAGAGAATGGGGAAGGAATCAGTGAGAATGATGTTTCTGTTCCAGATATTGGTAACCTCGAGCAAACCAAGGCCTTGATTGCTTCCCTCGAGGCTGGATTGAGTTTCTCAAAGTGCATGTCGGCTAGTATGCCGATTCTCGTTCAATTAATGGCTTCATCTTCTGCCAGTGATGTTGAAAATGCTATTCTCTTGTTGATGAGGTGTAAGCAGTTTCAAATTGATGGTGCAGAAGCTTGTCTCCGTAAAATTCTGCCTCTGGTACGTAACTCATGAAAATCCATTCTTCAGACATTTTTTTAGTTAACACCCCCCTTTATACATTGTACTAAAGACCTCTTTTTATGTTTTCTCTGCAGGCCTTTTCTCAGGATAAATCCATCTATGAGGCAGTGGAGAGTGCCTTCATTTCAATCTACATAAGGAAAAATCCAGTTGAGACGGCGAAACAGCTGTTGCACCTTGCCATAGATTCGAATATAGGAGATCAAGCAGCACTAGAGTTTATTGTTAATGCTTTAGTGTCAAAAGGTGAAATATCTAGCAGCACGGTAGGTTCCTTCTGTGTTTTCAGCGTATGTGTATGCTTTGGAATTATCCTCAATCGATACGAGTAGTCACGCACGGTTAACAACAACGAAGAAATAATGAGCGTTGTTTCTGATTACAGATTCATTATTTCTCGAATTAAAGGATTCCTCCCGCAAGAGGCTCATAATATCTTCTATCGTTTTTGTCTTTGTAGACTTCGGCTCTATGGGACTTCTTTTGCTTTAACATCAATGGGACAACTGCGGAGCAAAGTCGTGGGGCTCTATCTATCCTTTGCATGGCTGCTAAGTCGTCCTCTAGGATTCTTGGATCGCACATACAGGATATTATTGATATTGGGTTTGGCCGCTGGGCAAAAGTGGAACCTCTACTTGCCAGAACTGCATGCACTGCTATTCAGCGGCTTTCTGACGAAGATAGGAAGAAGTTATTGCTCAGCAGTGGCAGCCGATTGTTTGGTATTCTTGAGAGCTTGATCACTGGGAACTGGCTTCCAGAAAACATATACTATGCTACTGCTGATAAAGCCATAAGTGCCATATACATGATCCACCCAACTCCAGAAACCTTAGCTTCTACAATCATTAAAAAGTCCCTGAGCACTGTGTTCGATGTACTTGGACAAGATCAGTCACAGAATGATACCGACGATAATGTTATCGATATTCTGACTACAGTTCAAGTAGCAAAACTCAGTAGATTCTTGTTCCTTGTCAGTCATATTGCCATGAACCAGTTGGTCTATATAGAATCCTGCATCCAGAAGATCCGGAGACAGAAGACCAAAAAGGACAAAGCGGCTGCTGAAAGTCAGAATACAGAAGAAGATCTTGGGGCCACGCAAGAGGTACAGACCGATTCCCGTAAAGTAAAGCTGGTGGCACAAATGTTGCAACCCTATTGGGTTACGTTTGCTTAGTAGTGCTATCTCATGCCATGTTTTCTTTGTTTTACAGAACAATAGCATAAATGCTGAGCTAGGACTCGCCGCCTCTGATGATGCACTGCTTGATTCACTCGCTGAAAGAGCGGAGAGAGAAATTGTTTCTGGGGGTTCTGGCGAGAAGAATCTGATTGGAGATTGTGCAACTTTTCTCTCAAAACTTTGCAGAAATTTTTCTCTGCTGCAAAAGGTAGTTAGTTATGCATTAATTCTTCCTGTTCATTGGCATACATATTTTCCCTCTTTTGCTCTCAGATTTATTTTGTGATAATGACAAATAAAAATTTGACTTTCAATTCTTACAGCATCCAGAACTACAAGCTTCCGCAATGCTTGCACTATGCAGGTTTATGATTATCGATGCAAGCTTCTGGTGAGATTAAATCTTAATCCCAATATTCTATTTATCTTTTGCAAAACTGAATTTATAGTTAAATTGATGCGTTGAACTCAATGTATGCCAGTGAATCCAATCTCCAGCTTCTCTTCACAGTTGTTGAAAATGCACCGTCTGAAGTTGTGCGGTCAAACTGCACCCTTTCCCTTGGAGACTTGGCAGTTCGTTTTCCAAATCTCTTAGAGCCTTGGACAGAAAATATGTATGCCAGGTTACGGGATGGTTCAGTTTCTGTCAGGAAAAATGCTGTACTGGTCCTTTCACATCTTATATTGAACGATATGATGAAGGTATGGCTCCTTACCTCTCTTAAAAACATCTGCAATTATAGCTTGAGGGTTCATTTTGTGAATCCTGATTTCAGGTCAAAGGGCATATTAATGAAATGGCTATATGTATAGAAGATGATGTGGAAAGGATATCTAGTCTCGCAAAACTATTTTTCCATGAGCTGTCTAAGAAAGGTCAGTTGTAAACTTGTAATATATACTTCACATGACATCGCCACTTCGACTTTTGAATCAAATTTAACACTTGAGCCTCTTTTAATGCCAAACAAATCCAGGGTCGAATCCCATATACAATCTACTTCCTGATATACTTGGTCAGTTATCCAGCCGGAACTTAAAGAGGGAGTCATTCTGTAATGTCATGCAATTCTTGATCGGCTCCATCAAAAAAGTATGTAGCTTTTCGATATTGAAATTAGTATGACTTGTATTTGGTAATCTAATCACTCATCCGAATCCTCAACAATCTCCAGGACAAACAGATGGAGGCTCTGGTTGAGAAGCTTTGCAATAGGTTTAGCGGAGTCACAGGTATGCTTGTATTGATGATATATTCTAACACCTGTTATGGGTTTAAAATAAAGCACATCCGTTATAAGTCTACACCAATACTTGCAGATACGAAACAGTGGGAATACATTTCGTATTCTCTTTCGCTGCTGACGTTCACGGAAAAGGGAATCAAAAAGCTTATCGAGTCATTCAAGTCTTACGAGCATGCTTTAGCAGAGGATTTAGTGACGGAGAACTTTAGAAGCATAATCAATAAGGTTCGGTTTATCTAGTTTTCTTCACCCATGCCATTCTCTTCGTTCTTCTCAGGCTATATGTGAATTATGTATCTGGTTGTGAATCTAAACAGGGAAAGAAGTTTGCGAAACCAGAACTTAAAGCGTGCATTGAAGAGTTTGAGGAGAAGCTCAACAAGTTCCACATGGAAAAGAAAGAACAAGAAGAAACCGCAAGAAACGCGCAGGTTCATATAGAGAAAACCAAGAACCTGGATTCTCTTGTTGTCCCCAGCAAAGTGAAAGACGAACCTGTAGAAGAATATGATGAAGGTGAAGGTTAGTATCATTCGACTCTTGGCTGAATGAAAGTTCACTGTACCAAATGTTAGTTGATGAAAACCCTTCTAAACATCGGATGGTCTCTCTCTTTCTAAAGCACCGTTTGTGTTTTCCCAGGTGAATCAGACAGTGAAATTGTGGATCCATCAATGGAAGAACCAGGGGATATTTCGGAAGCATCTGAATCCGAGGAAGAACCAGAAGATATTTCGAAAGCATCTAAATCCGACGAAGAAGCAGGGGATATCTCGAAAGCATCCGAGTTCGAGAAAGAAGCAGGGGATATGTCGAAAGCATCTGAATCCGAGGAAGAACCATCGGACTCCGAGGAAGAGCCATCTGACTCAGAGGTAGAGCCATCTGACTCCGAGGAAGAACCAGGTTCTGAGCAGTGTGGTACCACCACCAGTCGTCATTCGTCAAACCAAAAGACTAGTGGCGGTATGTGAAAACTTCCATATATATCTTCAACATCTTACACAACTTTAGCTACAAGAATCCATCTTAGAGACAGTTAAGTAAAGTTATATATGGTTTTCAGGGGAAGAAGGCAAATCAGAAAGCAAGAGAAGCAACCTCAAGAGAGGAAACCGTACAGAGTCATTGCGCATCAGCAGGAGAAACCTGAGGTCAGGAGGAGTATAGAGGCAGAGAGAGTGTGTGATCAAGTTGCTCAACATCTCGAGAGCTATCGTATAACTATGTTCGTTTTGGTTTGTCTCTATGATGCTTAGATATTGAAGAATCAACCACATCTAGATTTGTCACGGCCGATTCATATAGAGCCATTATTATGTTAAAACTGGTTTAGTTGCGACATGACTTGTAGCCAAATCCGTCCAAGTACACTACAAGAGCAAACTCTTCTCTTGTTGCCAAACTAAAGACTAATGTTGTATCACATTCTCCTTGTTGTGCTTTTTCTTGTCACTGATGAATATATTATTAGTGTTATGGCCTTATTGGAGCTTAGAGTAGGTGTTTACCTACTTTCCCCACGTTTTTTCTCCATCTTTTCAATTTATCCAAAAAGTATCACAAAATTTCGTATTTTCTAAATTTCTATATTATGAAATAATATGTTCCATAGTGTTATTAAATGTAGCACAGTATACAAATTGCAGTAACCAGAAAGTGAATTGAAAACAAAAAATGGAGTAAAGGATCAGATTTAATTCGGTTTTTGACCTTTCGCATCTCTAAATAAACCGAAACAAAATCGAAATAGACCAAACCGATACTTAAAGTTCAGTTTCTCTCTTCTTTTGTCTCTACTCTTCACTTCAGCACCAGCTCTACCTCCGTCGCCGCCGCTATCTCGTCGGCTGATAACAGTATCTGAGACGAGAAATCGACGCCGGAGGAGAAGCTATCAGCCTCTTTCTCTCTCTCTCACTCTCACACTTCTACCAAAATGGCATCTTCTCTATCATTTCACTCCTCCTTCATACCTTCCTTCGCTGATCTCCCCGACCGAGTACGCCCTTTATTTTATTTTACTGTGATAACTTTAAGCCATTTTTATTTGACCTCAAAAGTCAAATAAATTTATCCTCCACTTCCTCTAATACTTATCTATTGCTTTTGGTCTCCACCAGTTTTAGTGGTGATTGATGCTCTCTGACTCTGTCTCTGTGTTGTTTCCCCCTGAAGGGTTTGGTCAGTAAGAACTCTCCGGCAAGTGTTTCCATTTCAAAGTTTCCGAATTGGGAGAAGAAGCATATCTCGAATCGGGACTCGTTCAAGCTGAACTGCGTGATGGAGAAAAGTATCGATGGCAATACTCATTCTGTAGCTAACATTACCACCCCTGATTGCTTAAATGGTTCGTAAAGCTTCTCTCTTTTTTATTATTTTTATTGAATATTGATCATGATCACAAGTTTGCAGTTTTTTATTGATGGTGTTTCCATGTTTTGAAGCTGTGAATATCAAAGAAGAGGCTAGCGTCTCAACCTTACTGGTGAATTCGGATAATAAATTTGATCCCTTTGATGCAATGAGCACTCCGCTTTACCAGACAGCTACATTTAAGCAGGTACTATTGAGTGAGGAGGGTCGAATCTAACAACGTTTTGTCACTTCATGCTTAGGTTTTAAGTGTGTTTTATTTTGCTTATTCTGCAGCCTTCTGCTATCGAAAATGGACCGTATGATTATACAAGAAGTGGAAATCCTACACGGGATGCATTGGAAAGGTTTCGAAAATGGACCATATGATTTTAGATATATTTGTGTGTGTTTCGGTCGGTAGAACGTTTCTCATAAAAGCTTTCTTTTGTTCTTTATGGGTTTTGTTAGTCTGCTTGCGAAGCTTGACAAGGCAGATAGAGCATTTTGCTTTACTAGTGGAATGGCTGCTCTTGCTGCTGTTACGCACCTTCTCAAAAATGGTATTTTTCCGATATTGACATTTCCTCTCTCTTGAAATGTAAAACTTCTTTCCATTACTTTGGTCTTATTGTAGTATATTTGTTTCAATAGGCGAAGAAATTGTTGCTGGAGATGACGTGTATGGTGGCTCAGACAGATTACTATCTCAAGTAGTTCCAAGATCTGGAGTTGTGGTAAAGTGAGTATTACTCCACCTATGATTCGAAATTATATAAGTACTTATTCTTAAAAGTTTTGTCCATGAGGTACTTAATGATTCTGTTTGATATTATTGTAGACGAGTAAACACCACTAATCTAGAAGAGGTTGCTGCTGCTATTGGTCCCCAGACAAAGCTTGTGTGGCTTGAGTCTCCAACCAATCCAAGACAACAAATATCTGATATACGAGTAAATTTTCTGTGAATCCCGAAACCACATGGCTGAAATCGACTTGTTTATTCTGTAATGAGTAATTGATTTTATTTTTTGCTTTGTTTGTAGAAAATAGCTGAGATGGCTCATGCTCAAGGTGCACTTGTGTTGGTGGACAACAGTATTATGTCACCGGTGCTCTCTCGGCCATTAGAGCTTGGAGCTGGTGTGTTACAAAAAAAACTCATCCTTGCTTGCTATTGGTTAATAGTTTCGTTATAATTCTCAGTACTTATATTTTCAACTTGTCTGGTTTTCTTAGATATTGTGATGCACTCGGCTACTAAGTTTATAGCCGGACATAGCGATGTGATGGCGGGTGTGCTTGCCGTGAAAGGCGAAAAGTGTGTTGTCTTCAACTTCTCTTTTCTGTTTTCAAGTGTTGTTGTTACATTCTCATACTCATTTTGTAAATATCTCCAGATTGGCAAAGGAGTTGTATTTCCTCCAAAACTCGGAAGGTTCTGGATTAGCTCCTTTCGACTGTTGGCTTTGCCTACGAGGAATCAAGACAATGGCTTTACGTATAGAGAAGCAACAGGTCTTGACTTCTTACCCCTCTGACTACGTTTAGACAATGGACTTGTATCTCTCTCTTTTTATGTTGGTTTCACTACTTAACAATTATATGTGAAATGTATTCAGGAGAACGCACGGAAAATCGCAATGTACTTGTCTTCTCATCCAAGAGTGAAGAAAGTGTACTATGCTGGTCTGCCAGATCATCCTGGTCACCATCTCCACTTCTCTCAGGTACTAAGAAGCATTAACCTTTTTCAATAAAATGCAGGCAAAGATTAACTCTTTCAATAAAATAAGATAGTTTTAAGTTCTCAACACAAGATTACCTCTTTTCTATAAAAATGCAGGCGAAGGGTGCAGGATCAGTTTTTAGCTTTATAACAGGATCGGTTGCGCTATCGAAGCATCTTGTAGAGACCACCAAATACTTCAGCATAGCTGTTAGTTTTGGTGAGAGTCAAATATACTATTTCTTTTATCTTGTTTGTTCTGAAGAAGCTGCAGACATATTTGGGATAGTTTTGGATTCTGATTGCATCCACTTCCTTGTCTTTGTTAGGGAGTGTTAAGTCACTTATAAGCATGCCATGCTTCATGTCACATGCAAGCATACCTGCAGAAGTACGCGAGGCCAGAGGCTTGACGGAAGATCTTGTCCGTATATCTGCAGGCATTGAAGATGCTGATGATCTGATCTCTGATCTTGATATCGCCTTTAAAACCGGCCCTATCTAGCTTCAGTGTGAGAAAACACTGTCTTTCTAGTCAATTTTTTTTTGTAATTTTCATAGGTTCTTGAAGTAAGAATCTATGTAAGAAACAATTAAACATAATTTGGTGTTTGAAAAACAAATGAAGCAATAATCTCATTAGTTTTGTTGTATTTGATATGTATCAGAGCTTTTGTAATAGACTTCTAAGCCAACATAAGCAGTCTTATGGTACAAGTAATGATCTTTCTTCAAAGTGAAACTCAACTCTCGACAAGATAGTTAATCTGTGACGACAGAGTAGATAGGGGCCATGGTTAGCAACTTGTCCTGACAATCTGTTTCAGGTTAGGTAAGAACAAGACCATGGAACAAACCATGACACATGCGTACAAGAATTTACCAGATTCATACCATTTTGTTCACTAAGGACAGGTACTGAATTGAAATCTACAGCTTGCAAATATAGTGACATATCTACAGATCCTTCGAACCATTTTCAGATAGCTAACTTGAGTTTCTAAAAGCAAAACCAAAAAAAAAAAAAAAGAGGAGTCAAAACGAAATTGAGAATTGGGTTATTCACCATAGTAAGATTTACTGATGTACATATAAACATTTATCCCCATACATCATCATCGTTGATTCATTATCATCCACTTATATCCCCTCTCTGCATTCCCTACTGAAACCATGTATTGTACCAGCAGAAGCATTCCTAAAACAATCTACAAAACTCTAAAATCAGAAACCGAAAAAACAGAAGCATCATGGCGAAGAATCAGACAGCGGTAGTGATACCATCGAATCTAGGACGTGTTCTATCTGCTGAGAGCCCTTCTTCCATTGACTTTCTCTTGTTGTTACTCAATGTTTGTTCCTCTTGTTGTACTACTTGCAGATGCAGTTGTTTCGGTTCAAACTCTGATTGAAGAGGCAACATTTTGATTCCGATTTCTGTTGAATCTTTAATCTCTGGTTCAACATTTGCGCCTTTTGAAGGTCTTTCAATCTCTTCCAGCTTCTGGTTCTTCAACTTTGCTTTCATCATATGAGGTTTCAACTTGTTGAGATCAGCCAATCTTACTGGTTTCAAGAAAAACTCTTCAGCTCCTTCTTCTAAACATCTGTTCATGATTAAGACAATTAACATAAGGGTGTCTTCTATTACTTTCCCGGCAAAATTAAGATGAAACACACTTTAAAAGAGGCTCAAGCTCAAAAGTTTAAAGATTCAATCTTTTCATTGTTTTCTACCTGCTGATTCTTGCAGGAACGTTCTCAGAGGACATTATTACTACTGGTATGTTCTTAAACGCTGATGATTCCTGCAAAATTGTAGAACAAGTTTATATTAAAATTCCCGAATCTTATCAATTTTAAGGTAAAAAAAAAACAAGTACCTTGACTTTCTTGAGCAAATCATAACCAGTCATGCCTGGCATACAATAATCAGTGATTATAAGATTCACTTCAACTTCCTGTCAAAAGTCACAATCAAACAGAATAAACAAATCTCCATGAGACAAAGACTTGTAAAACTAAATTCCAGTGGAAACATGAAGACAAACTTAACATTGAGGTAATACATTTTTATAGAAAGGAGAATTTTCGAACCTGGTGAAGTTTAGGAGACGTAGAAAGTGCATTTGGGTGGTTTCTCTCAATACCTTCTCTTAAACCCAGAAATTCTAAAGCCTTGGAGCCTGAATCAACCGTTGTTACTGCAAATACCAAAAAACATAAAGTTTAAATCTTTCTTCGAATCTTACAAGTTACAAAGACTTTTCACAGTTTTCTTTGACACTCGCTTTTACCTTGACACGAAGACTTTTGAAGCAATCTTTCTATGAGTTTCCGATCGAATAAACTATCATCAACAGCTAATACATGGAACTGCGATTCTGCTGCCATACCCATTGCAGAAAGTGAAGATGATAAAAAAAGAATCTCTTTCTCAAGATCTAATCTCAAAATGAAGATAAAGTCTCCGACTTTTTCTTTTTCTTTGCTATAAATATTCCCAAGAAAAAATATCACTTCTTTCGCGGGGATTGCAGCTATTTTAATCTCAGTAGTAAAGAGTTTGCGCTTAAAACAAGATCTGATTATATGTTTTTTCTTCTTCTTCCACCAGATATTGCAAAAGAGAGAGAGAGAGGGGGGGGAAATTGAATAAAAACTAGTTAGCTTTGAATTGTGGAGAAAGCAAGTTCGGATAGAAAAATGTTTTCTTTTTCAGAAGACAACGCAGAGGAAGAAGAAAACAAAGGTTAGAAAATAAATAAAATAATCAAACCAAATCTTTCTGAGGATTTTTGAGGATTAGATAAGAGGAGGGCTTTGCTTTATATACTACTACCACAACCGCCTTGCTTTTTACACCAAATTTAAAAGATGCACAGACAGAAGATTCGTGAATGAAAGAAAACCATAAAAATTCAATAATTTCACGTATATTTGGTTTTTAAATACGTAATTTTTGTGTGATAAACGCAGATAATGTATACTGACAAAATAATTAACAAACATATTATAATCATTCAATGCACAACTAAATCTATAACATCATATGAAACAAGAACAACAAGAAAATTTGCATGTTAAAAAAAATCAAATAAATGTAAAGAAACAAAAACAACATGCAATTAATTTTTGTAGAAAAAATTGCATGTTAACATACTATATCGTATTTATATGGAAAAAAAAAACATCTCTGTTTTGTACGTGTTTGCATGTGGAAAAAAAGCCAATGATAAATTGTTATTCACCAATTAAAAAAAGGCCGAAGATACAAGTTTTTTTTACTATTACATTGATTAATTTGAGACAAATGAAATATAAGTTGAATCACAAATCCAATTTTGTATAAAAATGTTGGACTATCTTGTTAATCGAATCACACTACTTAGTATGTGTAAATTTTGTTTCTCTATCTATCAGAAATTCAGATTCCCTGTTCTCACCATATTAGAAGACTCTTAATATCTTTTTCTCACCATACTAGACTCTTAGCTTCAGAGGTATCTTCTTATTCGATAATTCTTGCAAATTTAAAATATTTTTCTGCCAATGTATATTTCTCCTAGTTTTCGTCGCAAGTCTTCCTCGATACAAATTATTTTCCCCAACCTTCACGTCCTCCTATATATAAAATTCACGAGAAGAAATAAATACAGAAAGGGGGACCCGCCAAAATCTTTAGAGATATAGGTGACGTCGGCAAAAAGATGCCTCTTTTTTTTGTTTATTATAATGTAAATATTACATGTGTTTTTGCTCCAGGTAAACTCAATCCATATATATAAGAAACAAAATAAACAGATATAATCTTAGATATTAGATTAAAGTTAGAGATAAGAAAGAAAAAAATATTAGGCAAAACGTGAAATAATGGTGGCGTTTACTGCATAATGAGCAGTTGTGAATTTGTGATGGTGTTGGTGGCAACGACATGGCATTTTTTTGTGGATTCTTTTCCAAAGATTTGTTTGCCATGGTCATGTCCCATTATCATCATCATGATTGCCATTATCAACATACTATATCAACTACGTGTCGAACAGTCGGGGCCACACGTTAAGGTCCCTCCAATTAAACGTAAACCTCTCTTTTGTCTAGTGGGTTCCAGTTTGTCACTCTCTCTTTCGACATTTTTTTCTTTCTTTTATCTATTTTTTGTTAAATGTTTCGACTTGAACTCATAAATAAGAGAAATAAAATTTAGGGTAAACATTACAATGGAATTTAAATAACAAATTTATTAAACGTTTAAACTTAGTGAAAAATATGTAAATATCAACAACCAAAATCTGATTATCTGTTACGAAAGGAATGGTTGTGATAAATCGATTCTTCGTACATTTAACAAACGTCAGTTTATATCTGTAGACTGAAATCATCTGTTTCAAATGCATAGTTTCAGATATCATTCGGTTTAATAATTATACCCTCAAAGCCAAACTAATGAGTTTCATGCAAGCTGTGACAGTCACATTTGAATTTAATTGATAAAATGTTTTAATTAGCCAAATGAAATCTTCTCTTAATCCAAAACCCCAAATCAATAGTAAATTCAATGGCTCAGCATGGTGAGTACACACACAAGTCATACAAATAATAAAAGAAAATCAACAACAGATGGACCAAATGAAAGAGTAAGGCACTCAAGTAATTCAAAGAAGGTGTAGAGTTGAAGAATTGGGGAAAAAGGGAATCAAAAGGATAAAGAAATTGACCAAAAAGATACTGTATTTCTCGATCGAGTGGTCTATTTAATCGTAATCCACAATGTCGGGAAGACATGCTTTTAATCCACAAACAGTTGAATGAGATCTTCATTAATCACATATCTTCTCTCCATCTCTCTTCATCACAACCATCCATTTCTCTTGTATGCCTCTTCTTCTCTCTAACTCAAACACTTCATCATCACAGCTTTTGACACTAAAACACTATTTAGATCCGATCAACAATGATATTTAGTTGAAAAACTATGTAATATAGCATTTACTGGCCAAAGTAAATCCGAATTTGTTCACATCCCTATCTCTAGCTAGAGATATGTTACATTTTTGATTATATATACTGTTTATGTTTGCGTTTGAATATTATTAATCAAGTGTTACGATTTTATTTTGGAAAAATACAAAATTAAAAAAAAAAATCAATAGAAACAAACTTTTATCAATCATATTAAAAAAACAAAAAGTAGGTTAAGATTGTATAGTTTTAAAATATATATCGATGGGGCAGAGTAAGCAAGTAACTTTTTTTGAACTGGTTCTAAGTAAGTAAATAACCAAAACATGTTTTTACATAATCACAATGGTAGAAGATGTTATCGTACGCATAATTAAACACACACAACAATAATTTTTTCGTTGGGGCCAGAAAACACAAAAGATGATACCCTTAAGTATTACATAATTGGTTTTTACGTACAGGGACGTGAACTGAGAATGTCATATATAGTGGATGCGTGTCATAGTGACATGGGAATTGGACCACATGCAATGAACGTAATCCGAGAAGGTTTCGGGTTGAAGTGATGTATAGTCGAGTGGCCTTTTATCCTTCGTAATTGATATTCATGTAAGTATATGTCTTTTTCGTAACTATATAGTATTCATTTGGGGATTGTTTGCTCCATATATACAGTATAATATAATATATATATACATATATATATCGGTCATCAAGTTATTCGTAAACCATGTTTTAAAAAAAAAAGAGTTCTTTGTAATTCGTAAACCATAAAAATTGCAAAACGAAATATGTTTAGCTTAAAAAGGATTTATCGTATTGAAGTTTGGTTATGATGCTATATAATTTAAATAAGAGAAAAATAGAACTAAACCTAATAGTTTCTTTTAGCTATTCTCTTTTATGCTGTTTTGGATAAAGAGAATAGCTAAACGCCTAAACCTAATTAATTTATATAATACTAGGTGTTTCCCCGCATAAGGTGCGGGATTCGATTAAATTTTTTATAAAGTATAACATTAATTTATTTATAGATTAAAAAATCAGTTTTTATAATAGATTCGAAACCAAACTTAATATATTTGAAAATATAATTTTCATGAGTATATTATTTTTTGTGACAAAACAAAATATATTATTTATATCTTATTTTTTAATATCTTTTATATCATCCGATAAAAACTTATATGTATCCTTTGTTGTTTTGTTGCATTTATCAAACATGATAAATAATTTTTTTTTTTGATGTAAATTGGTAGATTAAGATTAATGAAATTCAAAGTTTGCATAAAAAAAAAACATAGCAATCCAAAATGACCAAAACCAAAAAATTCTAGTTTCATATCAACTTAACATTAATAAATATACAGAGTTTCAAAAGAGTTTAAATGATTTAGAGTTTTACTTGTGGTTGCATAAACCAATTAAGTTAATCAAAATATTAGTAGATTAAATAATCAAATTAAAATTAGTTTAATGATATAATTATAATTTTTTCTTTATTTATGCTAGTTAACTTTTTTTAGTAAACTGAATATTTTTATGATATAAACTCGAATTTGGAAATCTAGATTTTAAAAAAACAAAAAATCAATTAAAAATGTATTAATTTATTAATTTTATTTAAGGATAATTAAAGTAAATTCACATAAGGGGCAAAAGGTAATCAACCATTACAACTCTCAACTACAGTCCAACTTGCTTGTCAATTAATAATATAATTTAAACATCCTAATAGAAATAGACTATATCGACAAACAGAAAAAGAAAGAAATATAAATAGACTTTTTTGGTGGGTGCGAAAATAGACTAATATAAGAAACATAGTGCAATAGCAGGCAAAAATAAAATAGAAGCGATGTGAAGGAGCACTCTTTGCCTTAACTTGCATAATATGGCCCCTGTCTCTCTCTTTCCCCTGTCTTCAGGCTTTTCTCCTTAATGGTCGCTTACTTTGTTCTTTACTTTTCCCCATCTAATAGTAAAAACCAAAAAAATACTTACACTGTTGTTCTTTTTCGTTTGGAAATATATATCTTGAATTCGGAATTTATGAAATTTAAGAAAATGTTTAATTTTTCAGCATTGATGAATCTTTTGTTGACAGCCAACATAACATAGTTGAATCATTTTTCGTAATTGGGGTTTCGATATATATTCGATGAAGTGTTGTGTGTTAGCGTTAACATTGAATTCATACATAGTTTTCGACAGCTTCATGGAGACAACTAATAAAAATAATAAAAGATTACAATACATTTTAATTAACCCAAAAAGGAAAGTTTCTAGCAACTGCATGTATACAATTCTTTGTTTATATTTTTTTATTTGGACAAACTAGATTAAATAAGACTAACAAATCAGAGTATATGTATTTATATTTGGATATTATCAGTGAAAGTTTTGACTAAATTCATATTTAGATCATCCTCTGTTTTTAGTTTTTACAACATTTAGATTTCTTATTTTTTATTGATATATAATAAAAAGATGTAATTATCATTATTTTGCCTGTGTACTGTCTATTCCATCTTCTTCTTTATGGTTTTGACTTGTCTTTAATTTCTTTTAGGTGAATTTTTTAATTTGTTGGGTTTTAAAATTTTGCAGATAAATTCGAAAAACCGACTCCTATATATATATAATGGAGAACGAGCTAATTCTATGCAACATTGATTTTACTTATTTCATAGAGTCCAAAAAGGTGATCGCAAACCCTAATTTTTCTTCTAAATTCCTTCTTTTGGGCACCAGTCCTAAATCTTCTTAAAGTTGATTTTAGTTGATAATGATAGAAAGTGAGTTAGTCTATATGCTTACTCATAAGTTCAAAATAACGACTGACTTACTATTATTTTTTTCGTCTCAGTTTTGTTAATTTAGTATTTTTGTAAGTCAAATTGGCAATATTTATAA